CCGAGGAGAAGGAGGAGTACGCGAATTCGCCGGAGTCGTACGAAGGGTACGGAAGCCGGATGGGAGTTGAGGAAGGGGCGGTGCTGGACTGGAGCGACTATTTTTTTCTTCATTATTATTCGCCGTTGCACCTCACAAACCCTAGCAACTGCCCTCCCTCCTCCAGGTAACTAACTAACAAACAAACAAACATGTTTCTCGTGTTTTTTCAATTCAGTGATCTCTCAAAATATTTACCGCCCAAAATTTATTATTCTTTAAAGAAGTTGCTCTCTTTTTAAACTTGGCTCTTTACTAGTAAGGAGCAACATTATCCTTACCACCGTTCAATATTTGACAACTTATTATATTTTAAAATAAATTTTTATTTTTGCATTTCTCTCTCTTAATTGTCAAATATTTAACGGTGGTAAAGACAATGATGCTCCTTACTAGTGAAGAGCCAAGTTTTATCCTTTTAAAAATATTTGTTCCTTAGCAACAAAAATCTAACTAGAACACAGAGAGTTAATTATTCGGTACATTTTTTATTTATCTTTAGATTTCACTCATTGAGTGCATCACTATTGTAATATATAGTAAAAAATTGATTTGTTCGAGAGCAAAATTTCAGTTATTATTGAAAATAGGTAATGATATCACTAAGGATTTGAATATGTGTTTCTTTTTTTATATAATTCAGTCAAAGATTTTTATGACTCAAATATAAGGATTATTTTATATAATCAATTTTTTACTACATATTATATATATAAAGATATAAAGGTGATGTAGTCGAAGATTTTTATGAGTGAAATATAAAGGTAAGAAAAAAATGTACCAGACGATCTTCTGTGTACTTTTCTTTTTTTTATCGTTAGAGTATATTGAAAGAGAAAGGTTGATAGGGTAGAACCTTGAACAATAACATTTCCATTAACATCTCAATTTGATTTTCGATTGTTTATCCAATTTGAATTCACTCTACCACGGTTTAACTTTTCAAATGTTTCACTTTACTGCTTTTTAACTTTGCATGTATAAATATTTTAGTCTTTTACTATACCCATCTTTCTGTTAATTATTTAATAATCTTTGATTCATTTAAAAGTTGATACATATAATGTTAAATACTTATTTGTACAGAAATAAATAAATGTATCTATCTTAGTTTTCAATTTAAAGAATTTACAAAAAGAACACATAGAATAGACTAAAATATCTTTTTTTATATACAATTCCAGAGACGGACAAAATATATTTTAAATTCTGAAATAAAAAAGAATAAACATGAGGAATTCAGAGTAATTTTAGAAACAATTTTATGTGAGGTTTGTTAGAAGGACGGCCGGTTCTTAGAAGTCATTTTCATAATTATAAACTTATATATCCTTATAAATAGTTATCTTAAATGAATAATTATAATTCTTCTATTTAAAAAAAGAACATAAGAATGTCTAAAGTTCAACATCTTTTTCACATTAAATTGAGGTTGTCTTGTTGGATAAAAGAACTGTTCATGTATAACAACAACAATAATAATAATAGAGAGAGAGAAAAAAAAAGGACAAATTTCCCTTCAAGTGAAGACAAAAATCACGTGGATGTCTGCAAAACAGAAGTTCCAAGTTCATATGTACTTGTCTTTTCCCTTCTTTAACTTTTAAGCTTTGGCCTTTGTGTCCATCGTGTGTATGGTAAGATATGGAAAATACCTACACAAGGATCAATTTTATCCTTTAATTTGACAATTAAGATAGGAAAATATAAAAATTAAAACTTTTTAAAAAATAAAAATTTTAATCCTACCGATTTGTGAGTATTTCCTACCAGATACTTGTTAAATTCAAAGTTTGATCCTTGAAATACGTGTAATAACTTTATGAATTTTAAAAATTATATAACCACGGGATTCCTAAACTCTTGTAAATTATTGAAATTTTGAATTTGAGTCTAATAGATATATGAACTCCAGTATTTTTTTAAGTAAAGAATTTAGTAGACACATAATTGAAAGGTTAGAGATTAATTAAAAAATTATTGATTTTTTTTATTTTCTTAAAAGTTTGACTTAGACATACAATATCGAAAGTCTAGACACAAAACTTATAATTTAAGCTAAAATTTAATTTCATATTGTCTCCCTGTTTCTAAAAGCTTGATGGTCTATTTCTATCCTTTGATTAAAGCTTACTTCATGTTTTGGTTAACTTAATGCAAATAATTTAACGTGACAATTTATTTGTAGATGTGATAGACGAAAATGAATTGAGAGTAAGGTTAAAAACATAATCTTGTGATTGTCAAGAAAATGAGAGTGATAATATCATTTTGTAATCTCAAACCTTTGTTTTTTAGTTCAACGCATAATTCAATGGACGAGGATTCAAACTTTTTTCACCATCGAAAATATATTTTAATCAATTAACTATTTTTAAAGTTGGCTTAAATCTTTTGTTAGTACTTCAATAAAATACTTATATATTCATAAAATAGCTTCACTTCCCTACAAATATAGGGTAGAACTCCATAATTATTGCTTTGTTTTTTTTCCTTTTTAGTTCAATGAGTGTGACTTGTAGGATCGATCCTTTAATCCTAAAGAACACCATAGGTGTCTTATCTATACCGAACTATATATGTTTGTATTGGCTATCTTGAAAAAATTGTTCATAAAAACTAAATTTTCTAATCTAATATATAATAACTAAAGTTATTTCTTATTTGAAAATCATATCAAATCCATATTATAAAAGTCATCAAACAATATAATAACCTCCCATTTTGTTTATTGTGCTGTGAAAATTATTGTAGGAAGGTAACAGAAGAATATGGAGAAGAAATGATGAAGCTATGCAAAAAGATGATGAGGGTATTATCGGAAAATCCAGGGCTAAGTGAAGACTATGTTGAGAAAGCATTTGGAGGAGAGAAAGAGATGGGGGATGCCTTAGGGTAAATTTGTACCCAAAATGCCCTCAGCCAGAGCTGACTTTAGGGATCTCACCTCATTCTGATCCTGGTGGACTCACTATTCTGTTGGCTGATGAGAATGTGGATGGTGGACTCCAAAGTTTTGAAGGGTAATCTTTGGGTCACTGTTAAGCCTCTCCCAAATGCCTTCATTCTAAACCTTGGAGATCAAATTCAGGTCCCTCTCTATCTCGCTTTTTCGTGTTTCGTTTTTGGTTTTCGGAGAATTAGCTTTCGACTATTCAAGTTGAGTGTTTGGTTTTGGTGGAATTAAAATCGACTCACTGATCTACTTATTATAGAAGTTAAAAGAAGGCTAAATTACAAAAAATACTTACGAAGGTTTGCCTTTTGTTTCAAAATCTACTCTTATTGTTGGGTTTGTAAGGAGTGCAAACAAAGTCTCACATTGGGTAGGGAATGGGGTGATCCATGATATATAAGGAATGACAATTATCTTCATTAGTACGAGGTCTTTTGGGTGCAATATCATATCATTGTGGAGGTATTCGGAGTACGAGGGATACCTATCTAAAACGACATGACAAATAACATGAAAGTTGAAGTTGTTTTTCCACCATTATCAACAAGCTTTGCTTCTCCATTGTCTACCCAATTTTGTCATAATCTTCCTTTAAAAAACAATAGCTTCGTTTCACATTCCCTCTCATTTCAGACTTGCAAGCTTCCACGTCATTTGTGTCTTGTCATCTCCAGATTCTGTCAGGAGATTTTGCTCAGATATTTTTTAAACAAATGGCAAATTTCACTGGTATTTTTTGTAGCCTTGAAATCAAATAATTTGTGGTTGATGGTCTGAATTTGATTTTTAGGTGTTAAGTAATGGAATATACAAAAGTGTGAACCATAGAGTAGTAGCAAACTCAAGTAAAGATAGGCTATCACTTGCCTTCTTTTGCAATCCAAAGGGAGACTTATTGATTGAACCAGCAAAGGAATTGTTGTCTGAGGACAGCCCTGCCATTTACTCCCCCATGACTTTTGACCAATACAGGCTCTACATTAGACAAAAGGGACCTTGTGGGAAAGCACAAGTTGAAGCTCACAAATCCCCAAAATTATTGGAACACACCTCCAAGGGATAAAATGTTGTATTCTATGTGAAACAAAATCATTTCATTTCAATTTTTGGTATATTTTAAACTCGCATCCTTTTTGTTGAATTTTATCGTTACTTTTCTGATTGAAATAACTCTCACAGCATTATTTATTTTAGGTATACTTTTATTGAGGTAACGAGTTAGTCTTTGGATCTTAGTTTGTAACGATTTTTAGTCCCTGAACTTTAATATGTATCAATTTAGTCCGGATAGTTTCAAATTCGTAATTATTTAATAGAATTTCTTATATATGTAAATTGATAAACCTAAATTGTTATATAATAAAAATCAAAACTTCATTTTGATGCAATCTTTTACGGTACGGTAAGGATGACTAAAATTTATGGACTAAATTATTATTGGGACCAAAGAGTTAAAAGAGCGAAGAGTATAATTTATCAAATTTCCATAATCATTAAAAGCATGTGGTTCAAGTGGATTATGTAGGGAGAGTTGCTTTCTTCTGTCTCGCTTTCAAATTTGTATTTTTTTAACGATTTTGGACAATGCCAAATGTGTACGTTTAATTCTTTTTCTATCTTTTTCCTTTTTGTGGCTTTCTCTAATATATTTGTACGTTGTTTTCTCAAGTACGAGATTGGCTGTGCCAATTCAGGAAACATTAGATTTTACACTTTTTTTTTCAATTTTTCTCTCTGTTATTTTGATACAAGTTAATTCGACTAATTTTAAAATCGTGAGTAAGGATTTTCACTTGGATTGTTCTTGTGCGAGTATATTTAGTAAATAAATAGGCAATAATTTAATAATATATTTATGCAGCTTCTAAATTGAAGTAAATCCTGACCATAAAAATAATATAGCTTTTGAAGGTAATACTTTCTTTTTTTCCCTCTTCTAGTAAGCACTGTGGTTCACTTAGCTTTAAATGTCTTATAAAAACACTTTTTATTATCTAAGGAAACGTAATGAAGATTAAATAACTTTTTAATTAGGTAAAAAACTTTTTCAATCTCTTGCTATGACATGCTTGATGAGATTCATGTGATGTACTCTCCACCTACAGGCTACAGCTTTTGTAGATTCTTGACATTATTTTTTAAACTTAAATGAAAACAAACTCCCTGGAAATGATGTTTACCTTTGTCAGCTCAAAACGTTGGCCTTTCTGACCTCGGATGAAAATCTAGTCTTGCGAGAAAGTTACCCAGTTTCTTTGTCAAGGAAATCTTTGCAGGCTCGACTCGACGTACATGGAACTTGAATGGATATGACTCAAGAATTAACGGCGATCTGTCAGCCAGCGATAGATGATTCTTTAGATTTCTCTGTAAGTGCGACCTCCTTCTCCGAGTTGCCTGAATTGACTGTGTTCACTTGACTAGATTGCACCTGGCTTGTATTTTGAGTGTCCGAGGTAATTCCTAGGACAGTCAGTACGGCTCTGAAAGAAGCAAATCCGATGTCTGATTAACATGATGAGCAAAAAAGAAAAAGAAAAAAAACTACTATGAAAATGTCATAGTTATGCTACAACCTCGGGAGCGTCGATCGAATGTTTGGTTGGCTAGCATGAGCAACCAAAGGTGCTTTTAGTGCTGCAGTTTTGTTCAATGCATTTTCGAGCTGTGCTGGTGGCAGCTGAAAGAAGAGATGAAAGTAGATAAGAAAAATATTGTTTTCGTGTAGTGTAACTAATTCCTGTTATGTAGCAAATGGTATATGTTGTCAAATCAACCTTGTATCAAATTCCTCAACCAATGGTCTAGATCATCGTTTTGAAGTAGTTGGAAGCCTATTAAAGACTTTGTCTACGTTCGACACGAAATATCTCAAGAATATAGAACTATGTTGGCAGTCTACTCTACTGTTACAGCATCCTCAAATATGCTAGAGAAAACTACAACATTAAAGTCCAATTTGAAAGCCTTCAAGAACTCCAGTTCGCAAGGCTTCAGTCAGTAAGCTTCCAACAGCATTAGTCACCAAGGGAGATGGGGGATCGTTTCGTCTAAATTCCCATGGCGCTCCCTAAGGGGACTCTAGACTAGGCATTAAAGAACATGAGAGAAAGAGGTATTTAGAATAAAGAAACTATAATATTTTCATTCCCTCGCCCCAGCCATTTGGCCTTGCATTTGTCTCAAAGGCTCTGCTCTTTTACTACCATGTTAGCCAGCTCCATTTTCAAAGACAGCCTTAAGGCTCCTCCTGATCGTCCAAAGTTCACAAATCGTACGAAAGCTGATTTTAAGGGAAGATCACCATATACCGACTTGTTTCCTATATACCGTTCCTCAACAGAAGAGAGAAACGGGGGTTGACGGAGCCACACATTCTCGAATTTTAAAGACATGGTGCCCCCTGATAGAGAATGATTAAAAGAGGTCTAGGCTTTGTAACCACTCTAAAGTATTTAACTTAATAAAACACTCGGCACTAACTCACTAACTTAAAATCTGAGGACGAAGGAGAAGACAGGCAGTGGCACTTGCAAGTTAAGGAGTCACTGGAAAGGGGAATCTCAATGAAAGATAAATCCTCAATTAATTTGTTGAATCTCTTCGTGCTCCCATCAATTCTACCTCCAAAGGATCTCTCATGGCTCCACCTACTGACATTGAAATCACCTCCCAAAAAAACAGCAACCTTGAGAAATGCCAAAACAATCTTTGAACTCCATCCATGGGGCCATGACTTCTTTGTCATGCTAGGAAGGAGGGCTATAGATGCAGAAACTGTTGGGATAGTTGAATTTCAATGGAAAGAGAGTAAGCTTGTTTAAGAAGATCAACAACAGTGAGAGAAGATTCATCTCAGGGAAAATTTTAGCCCCCTAAGGATCCAAAAGACTCGATAAAGAACAACCCTACATCTCTTGAGCTCTAAAGAGATTTCACAATAACCCTATCGACAAAAGTAAGCTTAGATTCCTGGAAAATAGCTAGATGGAGATATCCAAATTTTTACCTGCAAGTCCTCGTGAGGAAATGGAAATGTGGAAAGCTAAGTGCACAATTGGTAACGTTCTCGTTTCTTATTTCAACTTTTTTTATAAAGAAGAATAGAATTGCATGGCTCCTAGCACCCATTGATTCAAGAATGACAAAACAAGATTCTTATTTGTGTTGGAACAAATTTGAAACGAGAACAAAAAAATAAGAAACTTATTTTTCTTGTTTCAAAAATTTACATACAATTTTTAAAATGTTTCTAAAAAATGAGAAACAATAAACACAAATAGTTGTCAAATGCTCAAATTTCTTAATCAAATTGGAAACGAGAAACAATAAATGGAAATGTTACCAAATAGGTCTTAAAAATCCAAAGAAAATTGAGTTCATTATTGGGTCCTTGATGTTGGGCAACTCAAACGCTGCCAATATCATGTGACACAAAAATAAAATATAAAGAAAGAAAAGTAATTATAAATCAAATCGGCCTATCACATATAACCAATCTGCCGAAGATCATCGCACTGCCTCTCTTTCATTGTCCCTATGTCTATAAAGGTCGGGCCAACTTTGGTGGGGTTTCCTCTACCCCAGCCTCTAGTCTGTTTCCTCTTTTTTGATATATACAAAGAAAGTTTCTTATCTAAAAATAAAAAAATAAAAGTCGGGCCAACCTACTGGATTACTTTGAATTATGCTGGTGCATTCTGCAGGACTTAAAGGAGTCAACCAATAGGTCAGATGTCAAACGTTTAGAGGGAAAACCAGATTCTGGGTCTATTTGTTGATAAGACTTTATTCTAAGAGATCCAGGTGGAAGAGAATGAAGGCAAGAAAGATCTAAAGCTTTGACAGAATTCCTAAGCTTGCTTGGAACTTGGATTCAATTTGGTTCACAATTGGTAAAGCTTTTTGTAACTATGGTTCTTTTTTATGAATTGGAGGCCTTTATTGTAAACGTTTTTTAGCTCAAGCCTCTCGGGTGGTTCCCTTTCTGCATCTTTTCTTTTGGAACGAAATTGTGGTTTCTTATCAAATCAATAAATAACCTTATAATCATAAGGGATTAGAGCAAAACATTACTAGAGGAACGCTAGAATAGAGACACACCTGAAGCAGCACATTGAATGATTGAGGCTTTGTTAAGAGTGCACACTTCAAGAAGCCTACCCACAGCTTGGGATATTTCCATATCTGCAACAGCTCATTGAAAGATTAAGAATGGTGAAAACTCCTAATTCATGAGTAACCAAAAGTGGAAAAATATTGACCTGCTTGCCAACAAGACGAGATAGAGTCTCCATAATAAAATCTACCTGTAAAGAAGAAAACAAAAATATTACTAATGAATGGGACTGTAGAAGAGGAGAAAGAAAGGGATTTTGTGAGATGAATCAAGCAATCAATAACTTTGAGCCACTTTTGTCCAACATATAAGAATATTTTGGGAAAAAACCATATTACAGAACTTCTGTAATTTAGTAATTAAGATATTACAGGAAAAAAAGTTATGAGTGATGCAATAATAAGATTATAAAAATGTATAGAAGATTAATACACTTATACAAGCACCTTATATTTTAAGGTGGGGCAGAGTCCATGCTATTGACGAAAAACAAAACCAGAAACAACGATCAAATGGCTTTTCCACACCATTATCAAATAGGGTTTTGCACATAATAGACAAAACAAAGGAAATCTTTATATGTAACAAATAACAGATCATACTTCTATATTGGCCTACACCTATTATCATTCCAGATGTCATTGACTACCCATCAAAAGAAAGAATATGCAGCAGCATGTTGTCATTTATCAAAACTTGATAATCAATTTAAAGAAGAATCATAATCTTACCAGTGATGGAAAAGCACCAATGGCTTGCAATACTGTGCGCATGAACAATAATGGAAGGGGGATCTGCTCAACCTGCATGGGACAAGGTGCTTAGTGTCATTTCAGAAAAGCAAAGATTCTCTTTAGTATGCTAAGGGAAAGATTCATGATGATCCTACAAACCAATTGATTCAAAACTTTTGCAACAACTTGCTGGGTGAAAGTTTGACGCTGCTCAAAACAAGCATTGCATGCATCTGTGACCTGCAGGTGAGGCAATCAGTTGTTAATAGGGAGAAATGGTAAGGTTTTAGATAGATTAAACGAAAAGGAACAAACCTTCCTAAGAGGAATACCATCTCTTTCGGGATCAATTCCATGAATAGCAATTAGAACTTCAGCTGGATTTAGAACTGGCCCAGAATGAGATGATCCCTGAGTAGAATATTGAAGGGAAAAGAAATCAATATGGAACTTACAGTACAATCAATCATATGTAGAAACACTCTCTGACATGAATCATTCTGTCTCTTGTTTTGAGTATGGAACTAATTTGATTAGTCAACTCGTCTCCCGCCTATAGAAAAGAGAGTCAATGTGGTTGCAGGCAAAACAAATGTTGGTACTCTAACTTACCACTAAAAACCAAAGGTGTCTGAACAAGGGGCTCAAATGATACTCTACTGAAGATGATTATATAGCCAAGCTGATAAAATAATAGATGAACACTAGAAACTGAAAGTAAGATTTTTGGCCCTTTTTTTTGTTTTACTTTCTGGGGTTAGAAAACTAAATGTCAGATTCTGAAATCTTTTTGCTAAACAGTACTAATTTTGCTTTTGTTAGACTAATGACCATAAACAGTAGGTCCTAAAAGGTCTATTATTTGCAGCTTATATTTGCTAAGTTACCTAAAATCAATAACCTTCCGAACTCATAAATAAATAATAAAGAATAATAACTTCCTAATTGATCAATGATTTCTTTTCAAGCATTACCGAAAATAGATTTATGATTAGAGAAAATCACATTTGCCTGTTGAGTGCTTGTAATGGGTTTATTTTAAGTTCATGCATAAAGCTAACATTTTTAACATGAAAGAATAACACCATATGGCATAGACTGCCAATAAAGAATGGGAAAAAGTACCTGCAATATCCGCAGAAGTGCTGCTTGAAATTTGTCCCCTGGAAGATTCACAATCTGTGGGAAGATCATCATAACCTAACAAAACCAGAAAATTAATTCAGATAATTCCAATAAATTGCAAACATTTTTAAGGCAACACAATAATAAACATAAATTTAAAGTAATATTAGGAGGTAGTAAGAACGAAATCTTAAAATGTAGAAAACGAAAGACATTTGAAGCATCAGAAAGTAGACAGGAGATGACAAAAGTATTGAAATACTGAGAAAATTAATATCTTGGACACAGAGAATAATAAAAATACTATGTGGGCGTCCATGTTTCATTTTTGGATAATCTGTCAACATACGATCTTAGAACTCCACCACAACAGAGGCTAGATATTGGGATAAATGGTCATTTTTTTAACAAAGTTGGAAGAACATAGGGTAGTCATTTTATATTTCTTTTTGTTTTATTAAAAGAAGTTAGCTTTCCGGATTAGCTTGAAGGATAATATGGAAGCAGTCAAGAGAGTAAGGAATGTATTTGGAACTTTTTAGAGGAAGTTTGTGTAACTCAAGGTTAAAACTTGTATTAATACCTAGGTTTTCTTATTCCATGTTATAGATATGTTAATCCTGTGAGTTACGTAACTTAGGCTTATGAAATCTACATTTTATGTTATATATTAATTTTCCAAATCACAAACTTAAACACCAGAATAACTTGCACAAACTCAAGTGTTTATAACCTAATAAGCCTACACTTCCCAATTTCAACCTTCGTAAATCTAGGCTTATTAAAATTGTGAACCAAATATTCCCAAAAAAATTAAAGATCAATTGAAAAATTATCTACGGTTCAAGGACCATATTGAACATATGTTTTCCTTTTAATGTACACGAGTGAGCTGTAACATGAATGCCACATAATATTTCCGTCAAACTTTTCAATGGAGTTGACTCAAGGAGTACTTGAAACAAGTAAAAAATTGATTAGAGTAATTTAAAAGTTTTAAGGACCAAATTGAAAAATCATATTTAGCTTGGAGACAAAAGCTATAATTTAACCTTATAACCATAAGTGAACAACTATAGATTCAGGATTGTTATGAACCCAAATTTTGGAAGAGCTGTACAAGAGTAGAAGATATTAACCAGATACCTACTATAAAGAAATAAAACTTGGGTAGCAAAACTTGGGATCAAAACGCTTTACGAATAAGTATAATAGAAGATGGTTTAAAACAACAATCATCTACTATCCTGACTACAAATTCATATCAAAAAGTACATCCTCTACACAAGCTCAAAACATATAGTAATATAGGTAACCAGATAGACAGAAATGGTGAGAGAGCGGAAGAGAGAGAGGTTATCCACCTCATCTTTTGGTAGATATGGTAATACAAGGATCATAATCTCCACATCCTAAAAGCAATGAGAACACATAACAACCGTTAGCAAAGTAACACCTCAACTACTCGTAGAGATTTTTAATTTAGGCTTTAAGATCAGACTGGCAATATCCTATAAGCTTTGAACAAGATACTTCTACAGAAAAATATATAATATAAAAAGATATCAATAAGTTTTAAACTAATGGCTTCATTGTCAAAAGAGTAATGCTTACCTTTAGTTTTGAATTGTATAACTTGCTAATGGTAAAAACTAACTCAGGAGAAGGAATTATTCCATCTGTCAGTATATGCAAAACCTAACATGGCAAAATATCAGGGGGGAAAAGAAGTAACTGTTATGTCTCCCATTTACATGGTCTTGGTGTATAATAGACAAATAGTTCAATTGATTGAGGAAGAACCTGCATCACAAGATTCTCACTTCCGCTTGGAGGATCGGTAATAATTTCAAGAAGATCTGAGGATGAGCCCATCGTGCGGACAAGTATTGGTATATGGTCATGAACAGCCTATAAAAAATACAAGAGAGAAAATTTTCAGAAATCAGAACTCATGACAAGAAAGAATCGCAGAATTAGGAAATGGGACAAACCTGCTTAATTGCTTTTGAGGCATTTTTATACATGATGAATATTTGGAGAAAAAGTGAGTGTTTCTGCCATTCAGATTACGCAAATAGATTATAAGCTTAGGAAAGAAGAACATTTTCTATGGCAAACTTAAATTACTAAATTAGACGACCTCGAACCTTTGTACAAAGTGCAAAATACAAGGACATCCGACGCTGGGCCTCAGAGATCGGAAGAGATGAGTCAGGTTGTGAAATGGATGAAGGATGAGTATCAGAGGAAATATCTTTATTGATGGCACTAGATTCTATTACAGCTTTTTCTGGATCAGCATCCTGCTCAAAAAGTAATAATTGTCGTAGTCAATTCCAAATTTCCAAGACTGCTAAGTGGTAACAAAGTTAACTAAATATTTGAATTATTAAAAGCATACAACAACAAGAATTAGGTAACGGGCAATCCTTTTTTTTTTATTATTTTTTAGTATAACATGTGGGAGTGAAGATTCGAACTCACGACCTTTTGGTCGGATATAGGTGTCTAAACCAGTTGAGTTATGCTCAAGTTAGCTACTCTACTAAAATATAACTTCTTATTTAACTAAAATTATACCCATGAGCCCTGACAAGACCAATAAGACGGGAAATAAACTAGGATTGGGGTTTCCCTAATAGCTGACACAATTTTCATATCTTATTTTATCCGTCTTTCGATATTTTTTGTTGCATCACCATGTGAAAACAAACCTTGTGTGATTCTGATACTGATCCGTCAGCATCCGTCATGTCTGTAGCAAGGTCACTAATGGCAGAAAACAGCATTTCCTTAGAAAAATCTTCTATTCGTTGAGAAATGGATGGTATAGGATAAAGCTTGTTAGCAACCTACAAAAAGAGAAAACAACTTAAGTAACTAGCTTATGATGACCCTACTGAATGTTAAGTAGTGAACAAATTACCAGACGAATTGCCTTCATCCTCACTTCCTCAGAGAGATGTACAGTGCTCTTTCATGGTAAAAAGAGAAAGTCAAAGTGAGATCAATGACAGGGAAAAGGCTCCAACAGCAAGTTTAAAATAAAACAAAAAAGTAACTGCAAACATCAAATGCTGTGAGCCTGTGACAGACATGAGCAAGGCAATTACATGACAGAAAACACTCCAAGACTGAACAGACAAAATAGCCCAAATGATCCAAACTAATCATAAAATAAAATAAGCATTATTAAAAAAAAAACAAGAAACATCAAGCTATGAATCCGTATCTAGTTAAGCACGAACAAACCAACAGGATTTATCATCTGCATTTAGACAATGCATAATTCTGTAGTCATAAACCCTTACCTGTTTACCACTGTCTAAACATAATTATGCTAGGCAATCAAACTTTAAATGGACGTACAATCTGTTAACTAAAAGCCTATGTTACAGAGAAAGTAGTTGAAGTAGAACAGAAACTGAAATAAGATCCGAGGAAAATTAAGACCTGTAAGGCAATTTTCAAGCAGACATCACGGATAGGGGGTCTCAACAAAATTAAACTCCACACTGCACTAAGACCTTGAGTTACACGATCACCACTTTGAAGATCCTTATCTGCATTTTCACTGTTTCCAGGAGAACACATGCATTCCAACAAGTTTATGACTGACTTTGGTAGATAAGGAGCTTCACCAAGCAATCTACTTAATGACTTTTCTGATGGAGGAAAAGAATCTTTAAGTGTTTCTGCCTGCATGGAAAATTAAATTACTCACATCTATACAAAAGAAACCTGCAAGAATTAGAGTCACAAAGCACATACCACAGTGAGAAGAAATGTCTCGTATACTGAAGCAGCAGTTGTAGATGAAAAGAAATCGTGTTCCTCTTCTGCCTCTCCAAATAACCTATACAGGACCCGCAAAGTCAACTCGTGTCCCTAAACCAATTGTTAGGTCAGCATGTAAGCATTTAGTTGAAAGCAGTAGAATTATTAGAGTCAGCAGAAACAAAAAGATTCTTCTAGTAGGTACAGTATTACATCTATAGACAAGACATCTCATTCAATCTAATGCATGTTAATGTAACAGACTAAATGAAACATGAATTCATTTGACAAACCAAGCATGAAAATAAACAATTTAATTTTTAAAGCAAAAGAAATTTAATAGCAGGATTAAAATATTAGGATTCTTTTATTCAATTAAAAAAAATGGGAGTAGACTTCAATAAAAGTTGGAGCAACACTGACCAAATAGATGTAGGAACAAGACCTACAGAGATCCAAGATAGGTGGTATTTGATCAATAGTTTTCACTTTTAATCTTTAGCAATAACCAGACTCTAGGCAGAGCACTCAAACTACAGCGTAGATGAATGGAATAGAACTTTAAGAGAGATTGAAGGGAAATAATTGATGTTATCAAGACCTTAGACGGTGCTCAAGTTACTATGAGTATCAAAAAGCAAGCATCTTTACTATGGTATAATGTCTTATAGATCACTGCAGATGTTGATAGTTGCAACTTGCAAGTAAATATATTTCTCAAGTGACTACTGTGTCTTGCAGATGGGAAAAGAAAACAATTGAAGGCATAGAGCTGTATGGATTCAAGACATTACTGCAATTAAAAAAAAAAAAATTGTTTTATACAGGGACAGAGCAACAGAGAGAGAAACAAAGAAAAATAGAAGGTTTAAGAGTGAATTTTGCAGAATAACACTTGAGACAGGAGAACTTTGTAAGAGCCTTATTCCAAGACAAATGCTCACCTCATTATTTATATAATCAGCCAATATATGGTTTTGCAACACTTTCCATGGCTCTAGTTCCAAGGGATACTGCCCAATGAGGAAAGAAAGTTTAAGCAAACAAAGAAGTTCAAAATTTAATAGTCTTTAGATAGATAGCTATTGCAAAGAGATAAAGGATAAATAAATAACATGCATAATCTGAAATAAGATGAGCTTCCAGCCAAATTGAATGTGCAATGTTTTTTTTTTAATATCCGTGAGTGCTCGGACCAGCTTACATGCACCTTGACTAATCTCACAGGACAACCGCTTGACCCAACAACATTTGGTACCAGGAAACACATAGGAATTACTAATTCCTAAGGTAAGTGACCATCATAGAATTTGAACTCATTCCCTCTAAATTAACCCTAGCCTCTTTGGACCAATGAGCCACCCATGATGGTTATCAACTCAATATTTATCAATATTGAGAATATGAAAATACTGTATGTCTAACAGTTAAATTGTATGACATACAGAATACTAGTTGCTGAACAAAACATGGATCATTTTACCAGCCTATAAATCAACTTCAATTTAGAAAGGAACAATTATCCTAACCACAAACAAGAAAGAATTAATACCTCCACTCCTAAATATGCCAGTAGAGAAGAGCGGGCTTGCAAACCTCCAGCAACTGCTATTTGCTTATACGCTTCGACAATGCGCACAAATGCCAGTCTTTGTAATTCATCCTTCTCTTCATCTACAAGATCAACAACAGGTGCTGACATCTTGGGCAGGACCAACTGAAAAGATATACCTGCAGAAGTTGCAGTCGAAGAGACCACGCTGTTGACATCTGAAACAACTGCCTTTGGACTAAGTTCCTCCAATCTTTCTCTAGAAACTGATAATTTCAAGGACGAGCTTAGATCCAAAGTCGAAATGTTCTCTTGATTAGAATCTTCAAAACCAGATGATGCAATTGAGGGAGTAACAACGGTCTCTGACAACCCATCACTTTGAACAGAAGAATCGAGCCCAGGTATCCCACTCTCTAAATTGCCCATATCATGTATACTAGATGGGATGATTGAGCAAACTTCTTCCACTTCAGATATAGAAGCTTTGGAAGCAGGTAAACTGGTTGCCGTAATAGCATTTTCAGAATCATGATTTGTCCCAGCACTGCCGACAATTGGAACTGCATGATGGTCTCCTTCCTCTTGAGGTTTCTAGGGATGAGAATAAAAGAAAAATTAGCTTAATGAGGACAATGCTCAAAAGGGGCAGAAGGAAAGAAGGAACTACATAAATGACACTTAATTTAACATAATAAACACAAACAAAGAAAATAATGAAACACCACGAAAAATATGGTCCAGATTTTGAGGAAGCATGAAAGAAAAATTCTGTAGTACCGTGTGATCAGAAAATGACCTAGAAGAATCCAACAATGATGCAATCGGTGGGAAAGTGCTAGACAATGAAAGAACATCAGCAACAAATGATGATGGATATTTGACTTCAGCATCACTACCCATTATAGACATGTTCTGCAGAAGTTCTCCATCTCCTGCATCGGGCTGATGGGGAGGAAGGAAACGCATATTAGCAATGACAACCTCAGCAAGCAAGTCAGCAGAAATACTAGAGATAAGGATCTGTAAGGACCCAATAGCTTTTTCTCCTTGAGCGACCAAGGCACCAAACATAGCTACAAGTTGCTGTGCTGGTCCAGAATCCACATCTCCTATCGATGATGTTCCACTTGATGATGCATTATGCTTAGACACATCAGTGCTCCTCTCCATTTCTTTAAACGATTCCTCAGGCTCTGAGACCTTAGTTGTTGGTCTGGCACGTTTCCCAGATCCATTTCCATCCTCTTTCAAATCACAGCTGTCTGGTTCTCCAGATCTCTTCCTCCCCAGATTATTTTGCATAATATCAGAAGTTCTTTTAGCAGTAGTCTTCTCATCCTGTAAAATATAAAAGCTGTAACTAGATCTGCACGCCTGTCTGCTGTATCTCAGGAAGCAGACCTTTAATCCAGAATGCATTTATAAATATTTAATTGTAGAAGGAACAAAAAAAAAACTGGCACTTACCTTCATAAAGTGGTCGTCACCCTGCTCCTCCTTTACAGATCCATTAACTGTTAACAATTGATGAAGGGATGGCTCAGCCAATTCCCCAACTTTCATCTCTCTTAGAGCACCAACTAGAGGATCCCGCCACTACAGTGACCATAATTATCTCCATTATAAATTCAATCCATACAAAGAAGTGAACAATTTCTGATAGCAGCTTACTGTACTATTTGACAGGGAGAACAAATCAAATAAAACATGTGAGACTTTTTTATAATAACTTAGTGTCCAAGCTAGCTTGTGCACACCATGATTAATTTCACAAGTCTACTTCCTAACTATGCCAGTATGATATTTCCTATCCTAAATAGCCACCTCCGTTTGACTTTGAACCCATGACTTCAAAGTCATCTAGGTTTCTAGCTCACTTCTATGATCATTGGGCAGCAAACCCAGCGAGGTTAATAAAACAAATGTCAGATAAAACAACAGTTCTTTTGAGCATGGCCAAAGGAACGCCAGAGAGAGAAAATACCATGTTTCTTTTTTCTTTTTCTTTTTGTTATGAGAATCAAGTATTTCATTGATGGTATGAAATATACAAAAGGCCACATGGCCAAGTTAAAAGAACGCCCTCCAGTTTAAGGCAAGGTCGTTTAGTGTGTAACTATGGAAGGGAGTAGAGTTAATACAGACTGAAAAGACACAGTACAAGTAGAAGAATTTGTAAAACGTACAAAATAATATATAACAGAATATTAAAGGAAGGAAAAAATGTGGATGGGCAGAAAACACAGAAATTCACCCGACTGGGAGCATGCCAATTTTTTGGGGTGCGGGGCTTCAAGAAGTTAAAATTTAGTTCTGAAACTTTACCGGTAAAGCACCCGGATGAGTACACTTCAAGCAGGTGAGAAATGCATTCTTTAAGGCATAATGTACACCAGGAGCATGTAACCCATTAAAGATAGTTCCTGACCGATCTAGACCAAGTAACACAGGAAGAATTCGACCATAAAATGCAGGCCTTCTTCTTGCAATTGTTGAAAGACTAATATGAAATAAAAAAGAGAAAAGACGAGTCAGAACTGTATTACAAAAAGAATTGATAATTATACATCTATTTTTCATTTATTAGTTAATTAATCTAGAGACTGCCCACAGAGGACTTAACGCTGTATAATATAATTCAGAAGTTTATCTACAAGTGTTGAGAAATAAATGAGTACAACGAAATAAGTAAGTTAATTGTGAAGTCCTATATGCAGGGAAATTGAAATGACCTATTAATAAGCACAATAATCTTTGTGTTATTGAGAGATTTCACTTTTGGGAATCTGAGTTGATCGAGCAACAAACCCAGACTTTGACTGGCTTCAGTTGACAAGTCTCTAATATTGAGTATAGGATGACCCCCACGAAGCCACGATATATTAAAATCTAAAGAGTTCTCTACACAATAAGAAATATTTTCAGAGGTCAGTGACGAGTTAAGTCATTTTACTTAATTTATTAAAAGAAAAACTCAAGCCTCTCAAGTGATGGATGAACCCGTAATACAAAGCCAAGTAGAAGACAACTACCTTCACTAGCAGGAGGCTCTGAAGAGCCATTCGGATCAGGTGTGTAAAGTAAAATTACTTCTAAGACAAACTTGAGAGCTAGCAAACTCATTCCACCGTTTCCCTGCATGAAAATGTGTTTTTAGAAACATAGTAACAAAAAAGGATATAAATATTTTAACAACATTTACTTACATGAACGGCTATTGAATATATCTCTTCCTTGAACTTTAACATCCATGTCCACAATGACTGAAGCGAATTGTCTATCTCGCTAGAATATAAACCCTGAAATATAATGGAATGTGACCTAGAACAGTGAGATTACAATATTTTTCCTCAGTGAGAGATAATTCTATTACCCACTGAAGCTGAGCTTACATCTCAAAAACCAAAAATGTACGTGAGTATGACCTTTAAATCGTAAGAGTATCTTAAAGCTTGAAAAGGTGACAATATGCTTGATCATTTTAATAAAACTGAAACATGAAAATGAAAAGTCCTTTATTAGGACTGTAGATGGTCTTTTACACTATAATCTGAATAAGTTGCCGGAAGTAGGAATAATAGAATGGTTCATGATGAGAACTGGCATTGTACAGAAAAGTCCTTGTATTAAAACTGTCACTCCTTCGGGAGTTTGTATCTTCGAACGTTTTAATCTTTTCATAATTTCAATGAAAAATTAGTATCTTGTTCAAAAAAAACATGCAGAATACAGTTACCTTCATCGCGATTTTTACGAGACTAATCCGAAATAAGTCAATGGCACAAGTAATTGATTGCCGAACAACAGCTGGAGTATCGTCAGTCAAAACTGTTATCAATAATGGTACAATTTGAGGCAACAAGTCGATGTGCTTCAATCCAATTTCACCAATCATCCTACACATTAAAAAAAAAACAGCTAAATAAGCTGTAAGAACCACTCCCAATGCTACCTCAATCAGTCAGGACTGAATCATCTAAGCCCAGTTTTTTAACGGTTCACCTAGCACAAGTGATCCGTAAGAGCATTAACAAGACATCTATACCATAAGTCTCAATGCCACTGGGAGAGAGATATGCAATCAGACATCCCGTATATACTTAAATGAATACTACAACACTCCAGTAGGTTTTAACACAAACCAGCAACACTCACTGACATAACCTAAAATATCAATGTAGAATGAGTTTTAGACAGCTGAGTACATCAACGGCATCTTAAGTTGTATCAATCGATGTATATTTTTCTTGAACATGAAAAATTAGCAGAACAAATGCATAACAATACCACCAAATCTTCACAGGTATCAGTAGCCTGAATTTAGTGAACCTTCCGACACTAATAAAATTAAAATTCCTGCAGAGGGATGACACCAGTACACTGGAAAAGAACACGTAACTAATAAGAGTACTAAAATTGATGGGTATCTCCGCTCAGTCTTCCTAAAATTCAACAAGAAATAACAACCAAGATTGTTAGAGTTCAATAGTTCGTGCGCGTGATACAGCTAACTACCAGTCTACCGCCAAACCTCTACTGGGGAAATTAATTAATTATCCAATGATACGTATGGGCAAGTGTTTTTTTTTTTTTTGGGTAGAGAAACAGAAAACCAGCAACCCGAAGTGCAGTATTGATCGTGGAGAATAAGAAGTGCAACGCCTAAGAACGATCAACATATTCCAACTTAGAAAACACGACTTTGGAAATGCAAAAAAATAAAAAATCAGACACACCCAATTTGAAATTTCCTTTCAGCTGCCCAGCCCCAACATCACAGCATACGAAAACACGCAATAGTGGAAGAACGGGACTGAGAAGAACTCATATCTCTGCCGTTTCATGAATTGAACGCGCAAAAAAAAAAAATGATATAAACATTCAAACGAAGTTAACCTAGAGATACAAGGGATACGTACTCTGTGACAGACTTGCGGATGGGGCTGAAGCGATCAGACTGTAGCTCAAGGATGCGCGGGAGGAGCTCGGATAGTAAAACAGGATCTTCGGGGAGCAAACCATGCTTCAATTGATGCAAACGTGCAAGCTTCGAAGGTATATCCGCAGCAATCTTGGTTGAGTTAATCAGACCAGCGAGCCTCTCTCTTGAATCAACAGCCATCGTCATTCCGACCATAGCTGAAGAAGAAGAAGAAGAAGAAGAAGAGATTAAACTCCGAATTTCAAGTGTCGCTGCAGAGAATTTGTAACTCCGAATAGAAAGGCGAAGGGGGAAGACAGGCGAAATCCATGTTTTTGTTTCTGCGGCTCATTTCATGTATAAGTTATAAACTTGTTTTGCCATTCGATTCACGAAATTAAAAAATAGCAGATACAGAAAACTATGTAGTATGCATAAATTCGGTAATTAATGACTAATGAGGCTGTTAATTTGGCTGGTAAAATGGCAAAATTAATGGTTTTATTTTGCAGGCTGTGGGGTTCGAAACCACGCGCACTTATGTGCAAAAGATCTTAAGTCTTCCCCCTTAACCTCTCAGCCAAACCTGCTTGTTGTTTAAATTTTGGTAATTTAAATATATATTATATAGTTTTACTTCATAATTAAACTATTAAACATGCATTACTTTAAACAATTTGTATTTTTTTTAGTTTAACAAGGATGGAAGTTTCAAACCTCCTACTATAGTTTATATTTTGATCAAGCTGTATTTATGTTTATGAATAATATTAATCATAGCTAACCAATTATAACACAAATATTTAGAATCTTTCTGGAAAAAAAAATTGGTGTAACCTAAATTATAAACACTGGCATTGCAAAGTTGTGATTAGAATCTTAAATATTTAAGAAAAATTGTTACTACTTGAACCCTTTTTTAAGGAGTTCGACAAGCAAGAAGATAGGAATTCAAGCCTCCAATTTTTAGAAAATTAGGTTTAATTACGTTAGGGTTCTAATATATTTACTATTGAAGTATATGTATTTTCTTTTATTTGTTTATTTGTTGAAGTAAAGAACTCTACAATATATGGAATACCACATAAACGTTTCTTCTTTTTTATATATATTTTAATTACCATTGAGCTATATTTAATTTAGTTCCCAATTACATAAAGTGATGCGTGATTAGTAAGTGTCAACTTAAGCACATCTTGGTTAAAACATTTATCTCTTACCTTACCAAAATATAGTGAGTTCAAATTCTCATATACATATACATACATATACATATCTATATATATTTATTTATTGATTGCATTGGACAATACATTGAAAAATAAATATAAATATATATATATATGTATATGCATGTGTGTATATATATATATATATATATATATATATATATATATATATATATATATTTATTTATTTATTTATTTATTGCATATGATATATAATCTAATGCACTGAAAATAAAATATCACTAAAAACTAAGATTTCTTTTGATAACTATTGGAGGCAAAAATATGACATACCACGTGGCGAGATATGACCTCGAGCTCCTAAGCTCACCTATCGTCGAGTTTAACTTGAGTTACTAAGCTCATCCATAACCGACATCAATCATTGCCGACCTATGACCCAACATCTAACCGCCTTGTCGTAACGACCATAACGGATGCGCCATTTCACTCTACCTATAAAATGATCTTCATTCGCCTTACTCAGGTATGCAATTTTACTTGGAGTGTTTATTTTCTTTTTGCAGGTCCTACCTTGCATACACTCGCACCTCGACTCGGCCAGTTGCCACGTAGCCGACCTTACAATGACACTAACAAATTTTAAAGGTATTTATGGAAGTATTTTTTGCCGGGCTAATATCAATTTTCCTATTTTTTTAAAATCACTATTGTCAAACATTTTTATGGTCAAAACACTTTCATCTAAATATTTGACAATAATACACAAATAATTGATAAAATAATTTTGACCATGCTAAGTCAATTTCTCGATCATAATAATCTCTCGTAAAACGTTCCATAAAACTGCTCAAAAAGTTCGTGAGTTAAGTTCGAGTTCGAATCCCGCATACTGTACATTTTAGGGAAAAAAAAACTCCCATAAAACTAACCCACCTACTTCCGTTCCGACCCCGCAAAAACAGAGAATAGAGATAACTACAAGATCTCAACCAGTTTCAGTTTCAGTTTCTACAGCCAAAGCCAGCCAAGCAAAACCGACGAACCCTAATTCCACAAACTGAAATCCCTTGCCAAAATTAGCTCTCGTTCAACCAAATTATGTATAAAACACAAGCCACTGGAGCGAAAAGAAGAGATACGAACGAGGAAATCGGAGGATATTGAATTTTCCCCCTTTTTGGAGGCCATATTAAAAAAAAAAAAACAAAAAAG